GGCTGCTGTGGAGTGGACTTCCCTCGGGCGGCGGCGGGCTGCGACCGCGGTGTCGCTCTCCGCTTCCAGGAGCGCGGCGCGGGTAAAGTGTAAAACTTTGCTCGCGTAGTGCATCCTGTGCCTTCATCTGATAAGCTTTACAGAAGTGCGCTAGTGTCAGCAGGGGATGTCAGGCATTGCTCTCAGCACCTGGTATCATTCGAGTGTGCTGTAAAAAAAATTCCTGCCTTTTTTTTTAATCTAGCAACTGTTACTGCTAATGCCTACAATGCAAATCTTTCCTTGCTAGCAGCATGCTCGGGCAGACACAGAGTCCTGTACCATCCTTGTTGACAAACTGAGTAAGTACAGAGTAGTTAAGTGCATGGTTAGACACACTGAAAACTTGCTGAACTGCCGGAACCAAAGGTTTGTCATCAGTGACATGAAGTCCCGCTGGAGGTCAGTCACCAGTGGTGTACCCAAGGGGTCAATACAGGGGCCAGGACTGTTCAGCTTCTTCATTAATCAGCTGGATGGTGTGCTGGAGTGCAGCCTCAGCAAGTTTGCAGATGATAGAAAACAGGGAGGACTGGTTGATAGAGCCGATGGTTGCGCTATATATTGCGCTAATATATTGCGCTATTACTGAAAATTACTGATTAGTAATTCAGAGGGACCTTGTCAGGCTGAAGAAATGGGCCAACAGGAATCCTGTGAACTTCATCACTGGAAAATGCCAAGTCCTGCCCCTGGGGAGGTATAATCCCGTGCAGCAGTACAAGCTGGCAGCTATCAGGCTAGAAGACAGCTTGACAGGAAAGGACCCGGACGTCCTGGCATACACCAGGTTGACTATGAGCCAGCAAATGTGCTCTTGCAGCAAAGGTGGTGAACATCATCCTGGGCAGCACTAGGAAGGGCCTTGCCAGCTGTTTGAGGGAGGCAATCCTTCCCTTTTACTCAGCGCTGAGAGACCACACCTAGAGTCTCGTACGGTTCTGGGCTCCCCAGTATAAGAAAGACACAGACATACAGGATTGTGTCCAGCAAAGAGCCACAAAGATGATTAAGGCTTGGAGCATCTGTGATACAGGAAGAGCCTGAGAGCTGGGATTGTTTAGCCTGGAGAAGGCTCAGGGATCTTACTAATGTGTTTAAATATCAGGCGGAGTGAGCGGGGGGAAGACAGAGCCAGACTGTTCCGAAATAGAAATTTGTGATGGAATTGAAATTCCATTTAACTGTAAGAAAAAGCTTTTTTTTTTTACTGTGAGTGTGGTCAAATACTGGAATAGGCTGCACAGAGAGGCTGTGGAGTCTCCATCCTTGGAGATACTCAAAAGCCACTGAAAGTGGTCCTGAACGGGTTGACCCTCTTTTGAGGTCTCTTCTAATCTCAGCTAAGGTCTGCTTCTGTATAAAATATCCCTGTATGGATGTTAAAAATTAGAGTAACGGTGACATCTGGTGTCATTGTTGGTGAGGTGATCGAAATCCAGAAGTGTTCAACTTGGAAAGTGAATGTAGCTGCACTCTATTGGAAACAGAACTCTTTACCTCTTGCTTCTCAAGTGAATCACTAAAGCAAGAAAAGAATGAGAAGAAAGTAAAAATTGGTATGAGTATATTCAGTGAATATATTTTATTGATAGTTATGATCAAAGGACAAATACCTCAACTGTTTATATTCTTTAAAGAATTTGGTTGCTTGCATATTTATTTTCGCTCCTTTGGAGGCTAGCACAAGGTAGAATAAAGTCTTTGCTGTGTAGAAGATTGGGGAAGATGAATGTTGCTGAAAGTAAGAGCTGGCCTACATTGGTTCATACTGTGGTATCAGTAGATGTAGTTTGCAGTGAAAAGTAACACAGAGATTGGCTCACCATGTCTAAGAATATAATTTGCCTATGGAAAATTATTAATTAATGAAACATCAAAGTCTGATTTCATAAAGAAGATGTCATTGTTTATTTTGGGGCATGAAGGGATTGCAGTTTCAAATATCTTAATATAGATGTCATGAAAGTTAAAGCTGAGGTTACTTTTAAGATCTGTTGTCTGGATTGCATGCTGAGCATAAGCTATGTAAATCAATTCTTTCATTCACCCACAGAACATTCACTTCTGTGTACTCTGTTACCTAACTAATAGCGGCAACAGCTATGTCCAGCTATGTCTACTGATATATTGGCATGAGTGAGGAGTGGAGGAGTGTTTTTTTAGGTTAATGGACACATCTGAACGGCTGTGAGCGCTGTAGGTTTTGCCAGTTGCATTGTGTGCCTCATGCTGGTGTAACCAGTGGCGCATGTGTGCCATGTCCTGAGTGTATTGGTTCTCCCGAAGAAGCTGCTGCTGCTGCTCTCTCAGTTGAACTTTGGTTTCTTTAAGGATTTTTGAATATTGGATGAGTCTGAGCAATTCCTGGCGCAGATGCCAATTCTCTGCTTTTACTTGTTTGATATGCAGAATTAGAGATTGTATCGCTGCTTCTTCTGCTCTCTTGGTGAGAACCTGGATCTTCTGATGAAAGTCCATCTCACAGTCAGCCTTGGCCTGCAGAAATCTGCTCTTGATTTTGTGCATTTCATCTGCATGCTGTATCTTTGTGACCAACAATTCCTTCTCCAGCTCTTTAATCTTTTTCATCTGTTCCAGCTGAACAGATGGACCGTTGAAAGGCTGCAGGTCTTCAACCTCCTTGTTCATAAGAGAGTACTTTGTCTCCATATTCATCAGAGCACTCCTTACTTCCTTCTCTTTTTCTGTATACTGTGAGATTAGCTTCTCTTTCTGCATCTGGACTTGAGACAGATCAGTGTGATTCTGGTCATTTAATGTTATTATCAGATTCTGGCACTTCTGGCTGTGTTTTGTTATGTAAGAGAGGTAAGCGTTGCACTCTTCCTGATTCCGTTGGGCTTCCTTTTCTAGGAATTTATTTTCCTGCAAGAAGTGCTCCACTTTTCCCATGTATGTGTTCATATGTTCAGTGAGAATCTTGTACTCCTTCTGCAAGTACGATTTCCTGTCTTTGACAAGTACTTCCATGTCACTTATTCCTTTGGATATATCTCCATTCGTGGTTCTTGGTCCTTGCTTATTCGTCTCAGCACGCATGGTGTCTTGTTTCATCTGCTTTGTCTTGGATGTCATATTCCACACTGGGTGTATCAAACTCTGGCAAACTGTAACAGAATGAAAAATTACAAATTCTAAGTGCGCATTTATGCCACATGTGGGACTGTTGCTTTTTTCCCCAGTCGTGCCCTCTTATGTTCTTATGTTTTCAACTGATTATTCTGGCAGCTAAAATGTTTGACCTAAAATTTTTCATGTCTGGCCTATGTCTTGAGTTGAAGCGCATGTGCACATATGTGCATTTGCATTTTTACATTTCTAGTTAACTGAGAAGTAGTTCTGCTAATCTAAAAATACACATCTTTTTGAGATTTCTTTTTTGTTGTATAATGTTGTGCTATTTCTGTAGTTTGGAGTACAAAGTCAAATTCCACTAGTGAATTATTATGGCTGTGCATTGTGTATTGTCTTTCTGTAGGCAGTAGACCTTGTCCATAAAACTTCAGCAGCAAGTAAGTACTGAAGTGCTAATAGAGGCACGCCTGAAACTTACAAATTCATAAAGCAAATTCTAAAATATAACTGCTAAGTCATCATGCTAAGTCACCAACTGGAAGCTTCCTGTAGAAAGTGTTATGGCCAGTAGTACAGATTAAACCCTGTTCCTCCATCAAAGCTAGATTCCTGTATTTATTTTTGAAGAGAAAGCTGCATCCTTTTCCTGGATTTAGAAAGTTAAGTCAGTATTGTCTTAAAAAATGAGAGCAGAGAAGGAACTGTTGGCAACCAGTTTTAACCAAGGGCTTCAATGATCAATCAAGGTATTTACTCACTTTGGAGAGTGACCACATTCTTTCCTTCCACTGCCTGAGGTAACATGAACTTGTATCTTCTTGGACATCATCTTAACTATAATGCTATTTGAGATATGACACAGATTAACTAAATATTTACGAATACAGAGAGTGTGAAAGAATGACCATAAAGGGGATAATAGCTAAAGAAACATCCTCCTAGATCCGGCCATGGAATGTATGCAATGTATTTTCATGGAATGTTGAATGTGCCATGCGGATGTGATCTTCCCAGTTGCCTAGGACTGCATTCTTCCCTCAGATGGTGGGTGGGAGATAGGTACAGAACATTATGAGCTGAACATCAATTCAGCATCTGTTAAGACCATGCTGGAGTATTCATTTGGAGATTATTCATCTGGGCTGCTTTATCTGTGTTCTATTTTGGTTTTGTTTTAGGTGAGTAACCTGAAATTTGCTTTGATGTTTTGTTCAAATTAAGGCAAAATGCTTTATTTTATTATGAGAAAGATGTTACAGCTCTATCAGAGTACATCAGTATCCAGGCTGATGCCTTGGTTTTCTGGGCTGTTAGGAGTTGGTCTGTCTGGGTCCTCTCTTGCTGAGAAGATAACAGTCCTTTAATAAAGGCAGTTTAATTAAGGCAGAATGAGAGGCTTCTCTTTCTGCCTGTGTCATTTCCTATTTATACTGGTCAAATGATTGCAAAACACAGTATTATAGATAATGGACGGGCATAGTCTTCGCTGGGTAAAAAACCGGTTGGGTGGCCGAGCCC